CCTTGTGTACATCAAGCATTGCCAGTGAAATGTGTTTGCCAGAAAGACCGTCAGGGTGTGCTGGGTCCCTCACTCACTCTTTTTGTTTGTTTACAGTCTTCGTTTGTTTTCATCCAGGTGAGATCTTCATTTCCCAGTTACATGTGTAGATGGTTTAAATGCAAGGCATGTCTTGCCGCTGAAGATATCTGTGCATAGCAGCAGGCTTACTTTATATTCACAAACACTGACAGGGCTCAGGATGGGTTTTCCCAGGATGTTTGCAGAGTCATTTGTTGGTTTATGTCTCTGTGGCATTTCCATAATAGAGGAATTATTTACACATTACTGTTTAACCTTTCCAGAGTGTTTTTTTTTTGCTTTGCTAAGAATGGTATAATAGGTCGTGAAGAAGTTTATAGGAAGAATGTTATTCAGCTGTCCTTTGTTAGAAAGACGGTCTCCCTTCCCCTTTTCTTCAAGTCTTCTAAAAATGTTTGCATGTTCCAGCCAGGAAATTGAATGTTTCATTAGGAGGCATTAGGGGAATTATTTTAAAGGCAGATTTTAAAAAATCTTAATTACTAATGTATGATGCATGCTGAAATCTAAGTGAAAAGAGAGTATAGATTGGTGTTGCTGAAATCCCCCACTTTTTCATCTTGTGGGCATTGTTAAATATTTAAATGTATCTGCTGAAGGAAATAAGAACTTGATGTTGTGATTGAAGTATTATAGCGGCCATGAACTATCCATCTTTCATTTCTCTTACATTTCTCTTCATTAAGTAGCAGTAATGACCTGGCAATAGACTGTTTGAAATAGTATAGTCTTTTTTTTCTTCACATAAATTGAGGTAGTTATCTATTACCACAGCCTGTTCTTATTGCCACATACATTTTTACAGAAGTGTTTCTTGGTTCAGTCAAATTTATTTTCTTATAAAAAATACTGAGATGCGATGCCATAATGCCAACATAATATATATGTATGCATTGGATATAATGAGAAAAACCAGCTCTTTTATTGGACTATAAGTTTTGAGTGTCTTCCCAGGTTTAGCATGCATTTCATGTGTTTGTTTTGTTTTGGGGGAAGGTTGGACAGGGAGGTGGGGGGTGAGGATGAGAGACTAGAATGTGTCTGAGATTTTCCCCAAGGATTTAGCAGCCTCTGATGGCCTGTGGTACCTACGGTGGAGTCATACTATGGAATCACAGGCATGATTAGTGTGTGTGTGTGGGGTTACTGATGATATTATAGAGCAGCTGCTAGAAACAGACTCTTTGTTTTGCAGTATAGGAAGCTAAAATCCAGAGAATTGAAGTGACATTGTCCTTCGTCACATAGCCAGTTAGCATTCAAGCCAGAAGCGGTACTTGGGTTTCTTGATTCAAGTCCAGAATTCCCTTCAATATGTCTCTTATAAAGATATGCTGAATTTCTACTACATAAAATTCAGTAGATTTTTTTGTGATGAATAATGATTAAGCTATTATTATTAGCCTCCCCAAGTTGATGGGTTGAAAGCATAACTAAGCATTCAAGAATTTTTTTCCCCTAAAATTCTATGAAACAGCCTTTGGAGACCTGGAATAGATATTTCAATCATGACTCTCCTGATTGGAAAGAAGTGTTTAATGTCCATATTCTGTGTGTAGAAAATTCATACAGAGCAAGTAAGAACTTACTCTGCATTTTAAGCACAGGTTCGTCGGCAGGGTGAACGATGCTCTGGGTATCTTGGGTTTGATGTTTAGTTAATAACCTGTATTCTCCACTATCTCTCCCACAAATCTCAGATGAAGAAGCATGCTTCAGGGTACTTAGGGTGTCCCATCTGAAATGGTTTGGAGAAAGATATTGATTCTAGAATCCCTCTAATGTCACTAGATTAACCAAGCTCCTTGCTTTGACTTTGCTCTGGGACTAAGTGGAAGCCTTATGGAATAAAGCAAAGTAGGAAGTCCGGGGACATAGAAATTATTGCAAAAACAGCCAGATACTTTTTAAAAAGGAATAGAGAGAACTATGGTTCAGAAGCTTACTCCTACAATACATTGCTCAATCATTTACTTTGCCACTTTGGAATGTGTGCTGTCATTGAAATTATTTCTAAATTTGTATTCTTTGCCCTATGAAGAATGGAAGCTTTATAACATCATCTTCTAGTACTTAAAGCTTTATATCTCTAATGAGTACTTTATCACTGTTAAAACACATATGACATAAGATCCTATCATCTTTTCCTATAATGTTGGATGACTATTTTAGTAAAACATTTCTGGGGAGAATAAAATTGAATATACTATAACACGTTAATGACCATACAAATCCTGCTGCGGCTGCTACTACTACTCAGTGAAGAAGTGGGGGACGGGGGGGAGCGCTTACTTTGTACATTGTTTTGAGCACATCTCAAAAATCGTGTCACTTCATGTAATCCTTACAACAAAGTTATCACCATCCGCACTTTGCCAAGGAAGTTTCTTGTAGCCAAGTTCCTTGCCCATGGTCATGCAGCTGGCAGGTAGGGGAAGTCTAATTTCCGAGTTCCCACTTGTAACTGATACAGCACATATCGGTGTATCGCCAAGCCCCGGGTTAGGCTGTGGTGAGTCTGCCTTCTGTTCCAAATCATCACGTGCATGATTTGCTTCAGTTCAAGGAAAATCTTTAGAATATTACACACAGGGTGTGCATTAAGCTACCTCAGCTTGTTCAAGCAAAAAAAAATTAAATAACTCTTCTGAGAAGATAGAGATATCTTTAATTATTATTAATGATCAGTTTAGGGGAGAAAGTCTACAAATCCCTTAGGAAAAAATTATAGGTGCTACCAATGAGGCTTCTAATCAATGAACTATTTGACTATTAGGTACTGAAAAATCATAGACTTATGTCACATCGTAATTTATGACAAGTTCTTACGTCATTTTCAGTGGGGAAAGGGTATAATGAATAACTTAAACCCACCCCAGAGCTGAACCTAATGTAGTTTTTCACCCAGTTGCAGATTATACTGTCATCTGTGTACACGTCTTCTTGGTGATGAATACACTTTCTGTGTCAATTTTAAGTAATTGAGTCAATATTATGATTTATACTGACTTAGAAAATTGCCAAGAAGCATTTTATGTCTTAGTAAGAAATATTAATATGCTATTTAACAAGTAAATAACTTTTTGTGTACACAATCTTTATTTTATTACACTGTAACATTAGCTGTGTATGTCAACAGAATTTTCTATTTCAGTTTTCTCAAAAGCATAATTCATGATCTAGTAACATAATTGTTACTTAACTTAGTTATTATTTTTATTAACCTTTTTGGTAAACTACTTATACTAATTTTCCCAGGCCTCTTTTCTGAAATCTCCAATAATAAAATAGTGACATTTAGAAGGAATTGATTTAAAGAAAGACAGCATATGCATATTAGAGTTAAAAACAAATTTCAGAAAAGAACATGACTAAATAAAGAAAACTGTGCCCTAGCTGGTGTAGCTCAGTGGATTGAGTGTGGGCCTGCAAACCAGAGGATCATGGTTCAATTCCCAGTCAGGGCACATGCCTGGGTTGCAGGCCAGTTTCCAGCAGGGGACACTTGAAAGGCAACCATACATTGATATTTCTTTCCCTCTCTCCTTCCCTTCCCCTCTAAAGATAAATAAAATCTTAAAAAAAGAAAACTGTCATGTGACTACTATTAGTCAGTTATTCTTAGACAGAAGGTACAGTACCACATAACAGGGGGTGCCTTGCTACCTATTTTTAAAAAAAAGGTTCAAGGGAGAAATATCATTATTGTGACAATATTTCCGTGGTACAATGGCATCATTTACTCTGTATATTTTCTTGTCCAGAGAAAAAAAATGAGAGAATCCTTTACCTTGGGCAAGTCTTTCCATCTTTTTGAGTCTCTAATTTTTCAATCTGAGAGAGCAATAGGTTGTACTAAATGATCCCACGATTAATTTCCGCTCTGCGTATACCTTAACTTTCTCTTGTTTACCCAGAGAGAGTCCTTGTTACCTAGTCTCTTAGAAAGAAAAATGATGTTGGGGCAAAGACACAACATCAGATTTTGTAGCCAATGGCCTGGTGACAGAGGGATATGGGGATGCTGATTCTCCTCTCTGTTGCATTCAGCTGCATTTTCTGTAATAGATGGGCACCACATCCCACGCAATTGGCTTGCAGGGCTGAGGCGTATGCTGGACAGAGATGTGGAGGCTGCCAGACAGGACCGGACCCACGGCTCCCGGCGGATGAGAGGCCTGGCGGAGCTCTCGTCCCCTGGAAGTTGTTGTTGACAATCCACGCACTCACCTTGCAAACGCATCATTAATTTCCTTTTGAAATTAAAAACAACACCAACATTAGCATGCACTGATGTGTTTTAAGCAGATTTGTTTAATTAAAACCAATGAAGTAAATAGCAGTGTTAGTGGTTTTCAGAAACAAATATGTTTGGATATACTGTAGTCCTTTCTTATCCATGGGGCATACATTTCAATACCCCCAGTGGATGCCCGAAACTGCGGGTTTGCCAGACCCTATGCTACATACCGTACTCTGTGGTTTTTCCTATACACACATACCTATGGTAAAGTTTAATTTATAAATTAAGCACACCAAGAGATGAACAACACTAATAATAAACTAGAACAATTACAATGTTATACTGTTGTAAGAGTTATGTGAATGTGGTCTTTTTCTTTCAGAATATTTTATTGGGTTTTATGTCCTGGGTGGAGATGCTGGACAAAGGGATGGTTCATGTGCTGGGCAAGGTGGAGCAGGACTGGGAGATTTTATCATGCTACTCAGAGTGGCATGCATGTTTAAAACTCATGAACTGCTTATTTCTGGAACGTTTCTACTTAATACTTTTGGCCCACAGTTAACAGGAGGTAACTGAAATCGCAGGAAGTGAGACTGCTGATAAGGCGGGACTAACTGTAATTTAAGGAAAGACGAGGTTCTCACCTTTCCATTTCATTTATTTTTGGTTGCAGAACTTCCGATGGTGGCAAAGTTGTTGGCACCATAGAAGTCAGTGTCGTGAGGATGGGGGAGATTGAAGATGGGGAAGCCGACCACATCACGACAGATGTGCAGGGACAAAAGGTAGGGTCTCAGCCAGCTCACCGCACAAATTAAATGAGAAGTGATCATCTTTGCCAGATGCTGGAGTCACCACCACCTCTGTGGGGTGTGCAGTCTCATTCTTCAAGAGCTAAATGAGAAGAAATCAGCTCTGGAACTGGAGTGCCGTATGCCTGTTTCATCCCCCGGACCACGGGACTCTGCAGAGCCAGGTGCCCCTCAGAAACACCTTCCTCACTGCTGGCTCCTGTATTGACTCTGCACCTTCTCAGTGGGAACAAAAGTGCAGATCTGGGTGGCATTTTCCCCATAATTAGCCCTTTGTTAAATGCCCAGAAAAATTCCTGCAGGGCTGCTGCCAAAAGCAAGCAGTTGGCTACTCTCAGAACGCTCTTTGGAAAATGCAGTGTAAACTTGGATTTCATTTTCACGTGAAGGGGGGCAGATTCAATAACATTGTGCCTCATGCCATGGCAGAGAGAGAAGCAGGGAATAGTGTCCAGCAGAGGGGCAGCTCTGGAGGAGGGGGCAGCGTGCGCCGGAGGCCCCGCAGCTTCCTTGAAGTCCAGGATAAAGGTCAACGCATATCAAGATGTGCCCCAAATTTTTTACTTTCTTTCTACTTCCTTTTTTCCAAGGAAGAGAAACTTGATATCAAGTAGTATCCTAAATTTCCATCTTAGGAATGCAATTTCCTGTTTAACTGAAGCGCAGGGGCCAGACTTAAAAACTGGTAATAGTTTTTTTCAGGAAAATGAGTTTGTGTGTATGTTATAATTCCTACATTTTTGTAAATGAACGTTTTTTTAAATGATGAGGCCTAGTCTGACTTCATTTCTGGCTTAGTGTCTCTTATCTGGGAGCATTTGAATTCTGGTAGTAAGGAAACAATTACACAGAAGATGGCATTTATGTAACACTTAAAAATTATTAATTATACAAAGTGTGTCTAACACTACATTTCAAAACTGCACTGCTCTTGCCCCAGAGGAAGCTGAGGTCTTATCTGCCGCCTCCAGCCTTGTTCCTCTCTGTTCCCTTGCTCTCCCTTGGAGCATATCATAGATCATGAAAATATCCCAAGGAGGCTGGAGTTTGAATCAGATTTCTTCCAAATGCCACATGTCAGGATCGTGGGAGAGTTTCGTAGCAGATCCTCTGAGGATCTGTGCAGTCAAGTCCCCTGTTTTGGGGCCAGGTCCCCTTCATTCGAGCCTTGTGTTCTTTGCAGTTCTGCGTAAGACCATTCCGGTCACTTCCACGTGGCTGCTCGGGTGTGAGTTAAGGAGGGAGGAGTCGGGGCAGAGGCGGGGACTGAGAGCAGAAACAGGCAGAGAAGGTGTCTGCACCTGCCGCAGCGAGCCGGCGGGGGGCCAGGAGCAGACACACCCCCCACTTCAAAGAGGGGCTCCTGTCCCTGCCTCTGAATCCATGACTGGCCACCCTGTCCTCAGAGCTCACCCGCCCTGTGAGTCCTGCGCTGTGCCGCTGTGATGAGGTGGCACAAATGGAATCACACTCCTTTCATAACCAGAGAGTCCGATAGGCAGGAATATGCCCCACCCGAGTTTATGTTTCTGACCCAGAATTGTGAACTGAAAAGAGACTCAACTAAGCAGTTCTAGAAATAGGAGGTGACAGTGTCAGCACGCGTTGCACATGAGTCACAGGTGACAAAAATGGTGAGCACACCCAGCTCTGCTGGCACTACCTTGTCTTGTCTGGATTCTGAGTACACTTCGACCTTTTGCAAGTTTTTAAATAAAGTTGCCATAAACACTCTCCCTAGGCTTATTTGCGATTGAGTGAGGGACATGGGCTAAGTCCACTCTGCACGATATTCAGATGAGTCACGTAGAAATAACCTTCATCTCCGTGTTTTTCGAAGCGTGGTCAGTCATCTGGGCTGTTAGTTAGAAATGCCAGTGCCAAGACCCTTTTGCTGATTCGCTAAATCAAAATCACTGAAGTGCATTAACACAGTTTGTTACTAATGGAGATTTAGGTCTTGAAGCTGGTCCAGGACTGAAGCACGTGAACAGGCGAAGTCACGGAAAGAAAGGGCAGCGCCCTCACTGGTGTGCATAGGTGGGGGAGAAAGAAACAGAACTACTCTTAGACCTGAAGTCATGAGGGTGAATGACACGTGGTGTCCCTCATGCATATTGAAGCAGATAAAAGATTAATAACCATATAAATCAGCTCAGCTGCCATAATGAAATGTCATAGACTGAGTGGCTTAAATACCAAAATTTATTTTCTCACAGTTGTGGAGAATTAGGAAGTCCCGTGTGAGAATGCCAGGTGATTCAGTTCCTAGCTATAGCTCTCTTCCTGGTAGGCAGGCTCCTGGCTGCGTGTTCATGTGGCCTGTCTTAGGTACATTGCAGAGAGAGAGAGAGAGGGAGGGAGGGAGGGAGGGAGCGCTCTGGTGTCCCTCTCTCTTGGGCGGGACACCAGCCCTATTGGATTGGGGCCCCATCCTAATGACCTCATTTAACCTTAATGAGCTCCCTAAAGGTCCTATCTCCAGATACATTCATGTTGGGTGTTTGGGCTTCCACATGTGAATTTTAAGGAACACAACTCAGTTTTTAGCAGTACCTTTGATATAAAAAACTGTATTTTCATTTTGAATTTTACATAGCCTTCAGAGCATGAAACAAAATATTAAAAAAATACAAACTCCTCTCATATACATTTACCTACTTGTTTCCTCAAATCATATTATTAATATACAGGGTGGGGCAAAACCAAGTTTCTAGTTGTTTGCATGAAAAATAATACAATGGTTAGTTAATAATATCACAAGGATATATTCTGTGTTTCGCACACTCGCCACTGTCAACCCCCTTTTGGCTGCACCCTGTATATTTCTCCCCCAGGGAAGATGGAGCAGGGCGGGTATTCGCCATCCTACACCGGTTCCAACTTTTATTTGATATAAGCATCCATGGAAGTAGAAGACAAAGTGTCTGTGCTGCATAGCAGTAGAAAGAAAAGTTCACAAAAAAATACTAACAGGCTCTGTCCAAGGACAGAGCCAACATATTAGGTGAATTATTGCATTAGGTATCCAAACTTTTTTTTTTCATTTTGGAGTTATTTTTGACCCCTTCCTTTTCCTCATATTCACAGTGAATATGTCAGCAAATCCTGTTGATTCCGACTTCTCAGTGAATCCGGAATCCGAGGACTCATGACCCCTACACTGTTGCCAACACTGACTGTCACTTACATTTTCACAATAGTCTCTTAAATGTCTCCCTGACTCCCTCCTCCCGACCCCACCTCGGTCTGTGCTCAGCAGAGCACTTATTAAAATGGAACCCGGAACATGCCATCCCTCCGGCGGCTTCTTACCTCCCTGAGGGTGTGAGCCCACATCTTTCCTGACTTAAAGTCCCGCACATGCGCCCCTGTTGCTTTGATCACCTTACCCTCTACTCCATGTGGTTTTTTTTTCTCACTTCTACACGGTCACATTATCCTGTTGGATGCCACAGAGGATGCAAAAACAAATGTTATCAGGGACTTCCAGGAGACTCCAGACCAAATTTAAAGAACCAGGATTTAAGGAATAAGCTAACAGATATGAAAGTGCTTTGCCAAGAAGTATTGGTCTTGGAGGGATTCCTGCAGAGCTTTATGATCATTGTTCTTACAATTTGGCTAATTTTCTAGCCCAGTGAATAGCAAATTGATGTGTTTGGTGACATTTAAAATCATTAAGCTTCAAGAATTTTACATATCTTGTTTCTTCTCCTTGGCCACAATTACCATTAAATGGCACTTCTCAAAGTATTTCATCAAAATGAGCAGGTGTATGGAGCTACAGGTGGTCCGAAAAGTGCGTGACACTTGCCTGCTCAGAGTCACAGATGTGAAGTTATTACACTGTGAGCACACACAATGTAAGTGTGTGGTGCTGCAAATATCCGTCACTGTGAAAAGAATGAACAGCGTATGTAGCTTCAGCTCCTTCAGCACAGATGCCTCATCTCCTTGAGTGTTTCCACTCTCTGTGATGTCTTAGCACAGTGTGAAAATGGTTCTAGGGTCCATTGCAGCAGAACAAAATAAAATGGGCTAAGGAAATAAGAAATATGATTTTTTTTGTTTAAAACATCTTTCGATCTAAAGAGAGATATAAACTACACTCAGGGAACAATTGAAGAAAATAATTGCCAAGGCCAAGTATGAAAATATTAATTAGCTCAGTAAGTATTTATGGGATAATTTATTTATGTTTCATGGATTTAAATCTTGAGGCCCTTGTGAATAGTAGAGCTTTAAAGCACAATACAAAAATTGCAAGATAAGAATGCTATTAGGTTAAAATCATCCTAACTTTCTCCCCCCAGTGTGGACGGGATTATGGATGTATGACATCACATTTCTGTATCCGCTTGTCAATATTGCAGGCCTCCCGGTAGAAAACAGAAAGTCGGCTTTGATTCCCCAGAGCAGGGCATCTCCATGCAGGGGAGCAACTTCTCAGGATGGCAGCCTGGTCCCTGTGCACAATGGACTTCTTCCCTAAAAGGGTTTCATCTCAACTGTCTACACTGTATTGTAGATGACGATCTTCTTTTGGAAAGGAGGATGGCCTGTAGCTATACACCTGGTGCTTTTATGGAAGGACATCAGAGAAATGAGTTAGGGAAGGATGTGAATTCTAGTCTGAGGTTATAGGATTTGCTGGGTCAGTAAATAACCATTGTGCATTCTAGAACCATTAATATGATGGATGTCGTGTTCATGAAACATTATTTTAACAGCCCTATGTAGGTCAGAACAAAAGAGGAAATGATGGAAATCGGAGAGATAAAGGGTTTTAAGGATTTCTCAGCATCACTGCACACTCCTCTTATGATTTGGAAAGTGCATTTCCAAAATAGCTGTGGATTAAAAAAATGTAGAGGTCCCTTCTGACTTCCGGTTTGTCAGAATTTAGAGAACATCACACTTTCAGAGCTGTTCGCAGTTATCTATTCTTTTAGTGAACTAGGACCCCAATATAAGTACTCGAGAAATTTTCTGAATAATGTGATGAAGGTTCTGATAGAAGAAGAAGTATTGGACTATAAGAATCCGGAAAGTAACATTTAAATCAAGGATTAAACGAACATCTGAAAATGCTTGAAGGATATATGTATTCAATCATCATCAACAACCTCAGTGGCCATGACTCTCACAGGCATCCAGGGCTAGGGGGAGGATGAGTGGAGGGAGACCGGTGGTCAGGATGGGTAGGAAACGGCCCCCACAGTTCTGATGCACCGTTCTGGGAGGCTGGGCTGAGTCCGGGGGGTTGAGCAAAGCCATGAGCCCACCACAATGGCCGTGTTCCTCAGAACTCTTCACCAAAAGGATGTTTTGGGTTTTTGTTTGTTTTGTTTTCATCTGCATTCATTTGCTTTGACATATTTGACATATTTGCTTTGAAAAGTCATTCTTCTCCTTCCCTTGGCTTTTTTCTTCTTCTTTGTTTATTTTTTGGCTGGAGATAGAAGGAAACTCATTTGAAGAAACAAATGCTGGTGCTAGTGTGAAAATAGGGGCCAGAAGACTCTTGCTTCCCTGGTTACTTACAATTTCATGGGAAGCTGAAGGAGAGTCCCACACTTACTAACAGATTATCTGGAATATTGTCTCTCACTTGTGGTTCCTCACTGGGAACACGGCAACATTGTCCTCTGAGTCTTTCCTCTTTTCTGTCTAGAAAGGCGTCGGCTCTGTAAAGGGCTCAGGGCCTTGTGACCTCTGGGTCATCTGATTTATGAATTGCCCGAATGCTCGGTGAGCAAGTGTTTGCATTGTTCTGCTGGAAACAAAACTCTTCTTTTTCTTTTGTAGTTAGATATCGCAACATATTTTATTTTATATTGAAAGTTGCCTTTACTTAAAGGCTAGAAAATAACTTGCTTTTTATTGATTCGAAATCATCCCTGCTGTTAGGAAAACAAAATTCTTCAGCTTGTCACATGAGATTTGCTGTCGTAGGAACATTCGGGGACATTCCTTTCCCACTTTTTACTTCCTTTTCTGGGTCATCTTTAACTAGAACTGAAATGTAGTCTGTCATTATAGAATACAATCATGTCATATTCAAATAATCATAGGATAAGCCAGTTTCATCATAAAGACAAACCTGCAAATAGTTTTCCATGTGTTGTTTAGAATTTTTTGAAAGCATGTGTATAGCTTCATCTTCTGCAAACAACATCAAAGAATTTGCTTATTTTGATTATTTTCAAACATGTTTTCTTTCCCTGTTTATTTTTTTCTAGTGCGCACTGGTATATGAATGTACAGCCCCAGAGAACATGAGCGGAAAAGACAACTTACCCTTGTTGAATGCGGGTATGTACTTCAGCTCCAGAAACGTAGTTTCACCTGAACATGAACTTTCATTTCCTGGGAACTCACTGCGGAACCTGGGTGGCCTGCTCACAGAATCATGTGTGAACACTTAGTGATCAAACTGGTAATTGTGAGGGGCCTGCAGAGTGTGGAAGACTTGGCAAGTTTATATGAAAGACGTATAGCTAACTTTCTAAATCTTTATACGAGGATATATCAATCCTGTTAGCTGTTGGATTTTATATTATCGGAAACAAGACACACTGGAGGACAGAGTAAGTGTAAGAAATGTGAAGCTCTTATTTAGTTTGACTTCCTAATTATAGAACTCAAATCAAAGTGGCTGGAACAGTGGATCTAGGGACCTGGTGGGAAAAATTCATACACGTGCCTGTGCATTCAGGGGTGTGTATGCATCTGCTATATTACTTACAGTAATATATTTGAATTTCAACAAGGCTCTTAGCAATGTGCTAAATTATGACCTTGTAAATAAAACTGACACTTATGCTACAGTTAAAAATGTATGATAAAATGTATATATAAAATATGGAACTAATGTTTGCATAATAATGTAAATTATGATGCCAGTAATAATAAGAACAGTAAGTAATGATTATTACAAAGCCAGGCAATGTGCTTAGTGCCTTATGTGCCTGTCTCACCTGGCTTTCTGATGTCTGATGTGTGCTGTGAAGAAGGCACTGTCATCATTATGCCCATGGGACAATTGGTCAAGGTCACCTCCTTAACAAATAGCAGGTTCAGAATTTAAATCCAGTTTTGATCCCAAAGCCTTTGCTCATAATTACTAGGCTGTGCTATTACTAAAAAGCCATTCAGTAACACGTTGGCATAACAAGAAAATCAGCTTTAATATTTTTCTAGCCCTGCCGTGTTGTACATTTAAACAAAGACATAGGTAGCTTTATAATGAGCTTAATGACCAATACCGTGCATCAAAGGTTTACTAATACATAACCCCTAAACTATTAACAGGTGTTCCCCGAAGGAAGCCACTAATAATAGATAAAGGGGAGGGGAGAGGGAAGACAAGGCTTTGACTGTGTTTGTACATACAGAGAACTCAGAGTCAAATCTAACAATAACAACAACACGTTGACTATGCTGATACAGAATGAGGGATTCTACCAAAGAAGAGCAGCTATTTCTCAGCTTAAGACCAAATGACATGTTTTTTGTTTTCTTTATTTTTATTACGGATGTTATGTTGGAGGGCTGTTCATTGAACAGTGAAGGGCTACCAGACAGAGAGGCCTGTCATGCACTGTAGAAGCACTTGATAAATTATCAGTGTGGCGAAACTGTCTAATACATCCTCCAAGGATCCTCTTCTCATTGATTTTTCCACCTGAAAGTTAACTAAACCTTTATGACTCTATTTTAATATATCTAGACAATCTATTTAACTTACTAAATGTCAGTTTGGAGAAATAAAATTGAGTGTGGGAGATAAGTTCATTTTCAATAGAGTTTGAACAAATCATGTTATCAATAAAATCATCTACACTATAATTTTTCTAGCTACTCACTCCTGTGAACTTTGTAATTTTTTATGCCCACAAAAAGAAATATCATTTAAAAATCCTCATGGGTTTAATATAAATTTCAAAGACAAAACAAGAAAAAATGGCTCTCTAAGTAAGAGAATATATTCCCCCGAGGAGACAGAGAAGAGGAAACACGTGGGCAATAAAGCAGCACCTCCTAACACTGGTGCACTCACACCTGAAAGGTGTGAGTCTTGGAATTGCAGTGAGTCTTGCAAATTACTCGGGTGCTCTTCCTGATGCGTAAATTGGAACATGAAAAGACAACTGCCTGGAACTGATGGGAGCAGATGCGTCCTGCAATTCAAATATACTTCCTTAGTGGGGGAGAGATGATGGATGACTGCTTCTTTTTTCATGGAGGGGACACTTTTGGTGGTGATACTCCACTGAGTTCCAATGACATTTTTCAATCTTAGTCTAGTGAACCCAGAGCAGCACTCAGAATCTGGAAATTTGCCACACATATTTTCTTTTAGTTGGCAAAGATAAGACTAAGTGACTATCAAATGTATTAAAGGCTAGTGTTTTTGGTTTATTTTTAAATTAAATTTATTAGGATGACATTGGTTAATAAAATATATAGGTTTCAAGTGTACAGTTCTATAATACATCATCTGTATATTGCATTGTGTGTGCTAGATGTTTTAAAAATTAAAAATACAAACTAAGTTCTATTCATGAAACGTTTCTGTTCAAAATATGAAAGTGTGTCGTACAGATATAGAATATGTATGAACTTGGCCTGTGTGTACCTTTGTCTTTTGTTCTCTTTATTTATCTGTCTAAACTCTGTAACTTTAGAATGAGTCCATTATATTCCCATGTGGTATTTTTTAAATCTGTGGGCAAAGGGAGCTATTGACATTCTTCTTGAGTCTGTGCATTAATGTATTATATGGAGGTTGCCAGCCCCCAGTGAGTTATGAAGTACTTATTGAGTGAGAGGAAGAGAATGTCATATCTTTCAGCAGCTCTTCCCTCTTCTATTTATATCTCTAGTGGTTTCATTTATAATTCAGAAAATTCCGTTATCTATTGTAAGACTGAAAAGCAAAAGCTCTTCCCCCTGAGGTCTCATTTCTTTCATGTCCTGTTTTGTCTCCCAGGTTGAATGTGTATGTTGGGAGTCTGGGGAATTGAGGGCAGAAGGAGAGAAGCGATGAGAAGGAACAGGGCAGAATTTGCAATTCCGTAAGAAAGATAGAGAAGCACCTCAACCCTATAGGAAACCAAGTTCCTTTCAGCTGTTGGATTGTATTGTACTCCAAAACATGGCACACTGGAAGACAGGAAGCATTAGAAATGTAAAGCTGTTGCTCACAATAGTCTGACTTTCTAATTACATAACTCATAGAATAAAGATATTAGAACAGTAGGTTTACCTCTTTCATTATTTGCTTATTCATTTAAGTGACATGGTAGTAACACTGAAATCTGTTTGTTGCTGGGGGGAGGGGGGAGTAGGTGGAGTTAGTTCTGAACACAGGGAAGTCCAAGACAGTTAGTCTCTAATATGTGCAGCGAATCACATCAACTGAGGCGCCTTGTCTGCAGCAGAACAGGAACAAATGGGCTCTTGCGGCTGTAGCGTAAGAGCACTGGACGGGCTGTCAGATCTGGTGTCAAGGCCAACCAGCAGTGTGACCCTGACAGACGGGTCAGCCTCTCTGCACGTCAATTTTTAAAAAATGACCAGATCAACCTGGACAGCCTTTGACTTCTTTTTAGGCTCTCAGATGATTGAAGTAGCTAAAGCTTAGTTTAGCTTTTGCTATGTTTTATCTCTTTTTTACCAATATTTCATAAAGGTGCTCATTTTCATCAGGTTCACATGGATGCACATTTTACTTTCTTGTCATTTACAGATGTCTGTCTCAGGAGTTATTGATATTTAATAAGACTAACCACAGTTAGTCTTATGCCTTTTTAAATTTTTGTCAGAATGACAATTCTGTCTGGGTTTCTTAACTGTCCCAGTTTTCCTTGTCAAAGTACTCTGGTATATCCTTCTATTACTGTGCCAAATCTATGGTGTGAACAGCCTCTATCCCCAAGTTTTCTATTATCTTCACATTTTCAGTGAGTTTCCCGCTGTCGGTAAACAGTACATCTGGTACAGCATCTTCCTTGGTTGAATTCCATACCTGAGTCATGAAATTATCCTTTATATTCTTTAAAGACCACTTTCATGCTGTGTATCAATGTGTGCACTGTCCTTCGGTGTCACCAAGGGTGTGCCTGACAGCCATGATTTCTGTGACTGTGTCGGCTGGAATCCGACCAAAGCAAGGGACCGCCCTGTCCTCGATCCTACATATGTGCACCTCTCCCTACATGGAGAACTTCATAGTATTTTTACTTCTTGCTTCACAGATGAACCACACCTTTTATTACAATTGGCCATTATATCTTTGATTTTTCCCCCCAAAATAAGGTTAAGCCATCTACTGCTGTTGCTTTGCAGAAGATGCTAGATTATAAACTATTCAAGAATAAGGAACATTGCTTATTTATTTCTGTCTCTCAAGGGCCAGAATACAATAGGAACTCAGTAAATGCTTGTCAGATGGCTGGGAACAGGCATATATTCTCATTTGAATTTATTCTTCAGACAACAAAAAACTGTGCCATTGCCCTCTCCATGAGAAGGCTGTGCAAATGTAATTATTTAAGTTTGACATAAAATAATTTATTACTTTTCCAAAAGATCACTACGAAATTCTCCTTTTGAAATGTTTTCTTCCTCATCTCACAACATAGATTTTAATTGCCTTTCACAAAATCACACAACTGAGCTAAACATTGAGGTTACATTCTCACGACACTGCCATTGAAAGCTATGCATGACTCAGTATTTTAAGAGATTGTCAAAAATGTCCTACTATACTTATTTGAGTCTTGATGAATTCCAGGCAAAAACTCATCCCCAGATTTTTTTCTTTTTTTTCTTTTCATTCTTGAGGTACTAAATCTACTACCTTATTGAATTTTAGATGATATCATTTTGTATTAATAAAGACATCTCTGCTGTATTTCATCCACATTGGTTTAACTAGATTTTGCCCTTGTATCTTTAACTCTCTGGTATATAAAATTGGGAGTCACTTTGGCTTATAGCAATGGCCCTTGATCTTATATACTTACTCACCGATTTCTTTACCCTTTGCTGTTTTAACAAATGTGGAGTCCATTAACCTTGCTCTTTTGGAATTCTCATGTGTTACCATGTGTTAATATACTGAGGATGCTAAGCTTCAGTGAAAGAGTGAATTTCACCATCTCACAATCAATGGAATCATCTGTTAAACACCTTCAAATGCTTCTACTATCTTTTGAAATACATTACCTCCTCCACTGCCCACTTTAGATAAACTAGAAGAAAAATAAACACAAGAAGATGATATAGTCAAAAAGTTGGTGTTCTGT